CTAGCACTCTACCACTTGAGCCACAGTGCTACTTCAAACTTTTTTTGTTTGTATATTGAGAAATCAAACCCAGGGCTTCATGCATATTAGGCAAGCATTCTACCACTACACCACATTCCCAGCCTGACAGTAACATTTTCTAGTAAAAGTATATCATAAGTCAGCCAGTTCTACTTTAGCTCCAACTATAATGGTCAAAAATAATCAGGTGAAACCTAATTTCTCATTCCTGTCTGTTTTGACATAACTTTCATAAAAGTAATGAAAAGAGCTATAGTGTTAAGAGAATGGGTTCTTTGGATGCAGTGACAAAAGTAGCTTAAGTAGAATGGGGAGGATGTAGCACCCCATGTAACTGGAGGGTGGGCCTTAAACCACTCCATTAATTTAATCAGAGTCAGGTGTTGGTCTTCTCAGCTTTGGCTTGTGATTCTTCTGTGGGAGATTGGTAGAGGTGGTGATAGTAGCCATGATGCCTGTTTACAGTTTCAAAGCTTTCTCTACAGGGAAAAATAAAATGGTTTCTTCTAACCTGAATTTGCAAAACCATAAGAAGCTTTTGTTTGCTCACTTACTAGACCAAGAGGAAGTATCCAAAATCATGTGATAATCATAGTCTACCAGAAGGACAGCTCCACAGCCACAGAGTATCTTGTTGTTTTGTCTTTTTAAAAGCAAAGGTGTAGAGCTGGGAAGGTGGCTCAGTGGTAGAGTACTTGACTAGCATTCATGAAGCCCTGGGTTCAATTCCTCAGTACCACATAAACAGAAAATATCAGAAATGGCACTGTGGCTTAAGTGGTAGAGTGCTACCCTTGAGCAAAAGACAGTGCCTAGGTCCTGAGTTCAAGCCCTGGCAAAAAAAAAAAAAGCAGAAGTGTGCTGTTACCAGAATAAGGAGTGACAAGTGCCAGCTGCTAAACAGCAGCTTACCACTATCGGAGGATGTCTAGTTTATTTGTATTTGTACAGTTTTTTTTTCTGCATTGATACTTGCCTATCTTAAAAGTTTTTTTTTTTTTTTTTTTTTAATTATGAGCCAGGTGCTGGTGGCTTATGCCTGTAATCCTAGCCAAGGTTGAGATCTGAGGATTACGGTTCAGAGCCAGCCCCGGAAGGAAAGTCCGTGAAACTCTTATCCTCAATAAACCACCAGAAAGCCAGAAGTGGCGCTGTGGCTCAAGTGGTAGAGCGCTAGTCTTGAGCTGACGAGCTGAGGGATAGCATTCAGGCCCAGAGTTCAAGCCCCACAACTGACAAAAAAATAAAAATTAGGAGATTCAGAAAAGTTGTGGGGATTATAAAGTACTGCTTAAAGAAAAGGTAATAATATTGTTTTTGAAGACAGCCTTCAGTTTGTAGGTATTCTGCCTGTTTCATTTTTGTATTTGTTTTTTAGGCTGTAAATCTCTACTGTATCTATGATAAAGTTTTCATTCCATTTTGTAGATGAGTAAACAGGCCTATCCAAATAGCTAGCTAAACCTTCTCCATGTTCTTATCAGATTAAACTTCTGCAAGGTTAACTTTCCTCATTAAATCTTTTGTCTTTATTTTGTTTTAATATGCCTTGGAAATGTCTGGAGAGGTAAGTACCAAGCTTAACAGCTAAATATTGTAAGAGTAAGAGATCTGTAGGAAGAATTTATACTTTTACATCACACAGACATATTTCCACTTACTTTAGTTTTTTACAATAAGCACTTGACATTTGCCAGACTCAGTAAAAATCAGAGACAAGAATACGTCAGTAGTATTCCAAGTGAGAGAGAAAGTGAGTGGTGAATGGTTCAGGTAGAGCCTGCAGAATAAGAAAGAAGGAAGTAGGACTGATAGAAAGGGGGCACTCAGTGGACTGAGAAATTGAGGAAGAGTAGAGTAGGCTGATCTCAACATGGAAGATACCTTCCATTTTAAAATTAAATAAGTTTGTAACAATACTATGGGTTGCATTCCTTCATAGATGCAAAAGTAAGGGAATACAGAGGTGGAAGAGACTACCATGGAGGGGGCAGAAGTCTTCACACACCTGAGCAAAATTTGGAGAATGAATGGGAGTTTTCCTGACAGAAAACGAGAAGATGGGCATTCCAACAGAGAGATGAAGACAAGGAATTCATAGTATGTGAGAGTATTGTGTATACATTATTGTATATGAGAAGCTCAAGAGGCAGAAATGGTAGAAAATGGTTGAAGAGGTGAGATGGAACAAAGATGGCAGCTGCAGAGTTTAGACATGGTATGGTCTTAAAGACCATGGGTTATTAAAGCATCTTCAAACCAGCATTTGTGGCTCATACCTGAAGATGAAGCCCTGAGTTCAAACCCCAGTACTGGCCTTTTCTGCCAGTAGACAAGTCAGAGGCTTTTTTTTTTTTTAATCTTATTGTAAAGACCACATTGTCAGCAGTATGGAGGATTGCTTGAGAAAGACAAAACTAGAATAATGGAGACTAATTTAAGTTAGTATTGTGACATAGGTCTTAAGTAAGAGATTAATGTTAAAAAACAGGCATTGGTAATGAAAGGAGGTCACATACTTAAAAATTATTTTCAGCCTTATGGCAGTCTTGAGGAAGTCATTTGTAGGTGTTGGGTCACTGGCTGAAAATAATGAGCAAATCATGGTCCAAGTTCCCAGTGTGTCATTAGAGACTTGTTTCTGGGTGGACAAAGAAGCAGTTTGAAGCTTAGCAGCTCTCCTACTGTCTTTAACCTGTATTTCTCTGTCTTGTCCTTGAAAGGACCTTGCTGAAATCCAAATAGTATGTTGTAGTATTTCCTTGATCCATCAATTTACAGCTTTTTGAGAGAAAAGGAGAAAAGAGTCTCCTTATTTCCATGTCAGTTATTTCTTCTGCTCTATTTAGTCTTTTTGAAACTTTGTTCAGAGTTTTGATCAGAATTGGTGGTTTGTAATTTCAGGCATCTATGATTCCAGACTGAAAGGAATCACAGAGCTATCCAACTAGAAGTTAAATGTCTTGGGGAAAATAAGAGTTATTTAAAATTCGTGCACTAGGGCTGGGAAGGTGGCTCAGTGGTAGAGCACTTGCCTTGCATGCCTGAGGCCCTGGATTCGATTCCTCAGCACCACATAAGAAAAAAGAAAAAAGCTGGAAGTGGCGCTGTGGCTCAAGTGGTAGAGCACTAGCCTTGAGTTGAAGAGCTGAGGGACAGCTCCCAGGCCCAGAATTCAGGCCCCATGACCGGACCCCCCCCTCCCAAAAAAAAAACCCCAAAACAAAAATTCGTGCACTAGAAGTTCATGCCTGTAATCCTTCCTACTCAGGAGGCTGAAATCTGAAGGTTCACAGTACAAAACTAGCCTGGGCAGAGAAATCCCAAGAGATTCCATCTCCAGAATAACCAGCAAAAGGCCAGACTACTTGGTGTGTCCCAAGTAGTAGAACATCAGCCAAGCAAGCAAACTGGTCAGCGTCCTGAGTTCAAACCCCAGTGCTGGCAATGAATGAATGAAAGAATGGATATAAATAAATACATTTTAAAGGTTCAGCTGAGTGTGGTAGTGATATATAGCTATAATCTCAGCAGGGTGGGGTGGAGACAGGAAGATCCTTTGAGTTTTGAGACCAGCTAGCCTACTTAGTGAGACTCTCCCCCCATCTGCCAAAAAATACTGTTGGCTGTAATGTTTTCTTAGAACTTGATTGGTTCTTTTTCTCGTAGTTTACTTTAGTTCTTTAATTCTTTGTTGATTTTCCTTTTGTGGCAAGTGGATGATTAGTGTTTAATTCTTGACTGTCACAGCACCTGTTTTTATTTCCTAGGTTTGTAAAACTACTTGCACTAGATTATTTTAGGTTAAAAAAAAAAAAGAAAGAAAAAGAAAAAAAGAAGCCTAGTTTCCTTAGTGAAATTGTCAGGTGTTCTTCTTGGATAGCAACCATGGATATAGAGCAACTTGGTGTTAATTTTCTGACCGGACCTCATCAAAGAACAATTCCTTCATAATTTACTTTGTTTCTCCTAAACTCTTTACCTTTCAAGTTCTTCCTATCATCATACTCAGGCTTGAAATCATATACTTTAGGCTATGTGTGCATGTGTTTGTTGAAGTGTTAAATGAGTGTTTTTGTTCTCCTGGTTTTTTTTTTTTTTGATCTAGTGAAACTGTTCAGCACTGTGGTTGGCTTTTCCAACTCAGTGGAACTTTGTTCAGGCCTGGTCAGTCAAAAAACAGATGAAGTGAATAGTTTTAATGAGAGCCATTGGCGAAAAATACAGTGAACACTGAAAGTAATATATCTGAACAAGCCTTAAAGGAAGAGAAGAGAAAGTAAGGCATCAGAATGAACTTATTATTTTTTTTTTATTGTGAAAATACCGTACAGAGGGGTTACAATTACATGGGCAAGGTAATGAGTACATTTCTTACCAAGCATTGTTGCCTCCTCCTTTGTTTCCCCTTCCCATCCCTTCCCATCCCCCACCTACCCCCTCCAACCCCCAAGAATGAACTTACTTTATTTGCATACAATCTTTCTATATGTTATCAAAATGTTTTAAAATTTACATGCATATATTATGTGTATGAGACAGAAAATACTTATTTTTGTTTCATTTGTAGGCACTGAAGACAAGACTCCCAAAAAGAGATTCTCTGAGGTGCAGAGAGAAAGACGAGAACAGGCACAGCGGACTGCCCTAATACATTGCCCTAATAAAATCAGCGAAAAAAAGTTTCTCAAATACTTATCTCAACATGGACCTATTAAAAATCATTTCTTCTATGAAAGCTTTGTACGTATCTCAGCAAATAATCCAACTCAGTCAGTGATCATGGTTTTGAAGGATATTTTTGGTGGTTGTATGTTTTGTTGTTGCCTTTGCAGTATAAGTCAGGGTCTCTTCTGACATCTTATATCTTTCCTTACCTATGGTGTTGTGTTTGTTTGTTATGTGTACTAGTGATAGAAGCATAGGGGCTCATGCTTCAAGCATGAGTCGCATCTCCACTTGAGCCACATCTTCAGCCCTTTTGCTTTTAGTTTGTTTCTGAGAGGATCTTTTAACTTTGCTTGGGATAGCCTTAAATTTGGGAGCTCATAATCCTGCCTCTGCCTCCTGAGTAGCTGGGATTAGGGGTTTGCAGCATAGCATTATGCCTGACTTTATATTTCCTTAATGAGGTTTTGTTTGTTTTTATTTTTTTAGATTCAAGAGTAGAAATCCTTATAGTAGTGCTTTAGAATTATAAATAATTTGTTATTGTTCCCATTAGGAATCATTATTATTGAATAGTATTAGCCCAGTGCTTTACATAAAGCCCATTGGGGGTGGGGCTGGAAATCTATTCTTCTTGTTGATTGTTTTATTTTGTTTTGGTTTCTCCTGACTGATAGTACTTTATAGTGTTCCTTATTCTTTTTTTTTTTTGTTGTTGTTGTTATTGGTTGTGGGGCTTGAACTCTGGGCCTGGGCGCTGTCCCTCAGCTCTTCAGCTCAAGGCAAGCACTTTACCACTTGAGCTACAGCGCCACTTCCGGTTTTCTGGTGGTTTTTATTGGAGATAGGAGTCTCACAGTCTTTCCTGCCCGGGCTGGCTTTGAACAGCAATCCTCAGATCTCAGCCTCCTGAGTAGCTAGGATTACAGGCGTGAGCCACCAGCGCTTGGCTAGTGTTCCTTATTCTTATAGTGGGAAAAACCAGTGCTTACATTAGAATTATATCATTCATAAAATTAAAAAAATTACATTTTGTAGTATTCTGATAGTTGTTTTGAAGCTGTCATACTCAGTGTATATTGTGAAATGCGTCCTTTTTTTTTTATGTTTTGGGTACAGGGTCTTTATGCGCTTGTGGAATTTTGCCAGAAGGATAGCATAGATTCACTGAAGCACGGAAGTCATACTCCAAGCCTAAGCACAGAAGCTGCGATTCCGTTTCGATCGCGTTTCTTCAGTCTGAGACAGAGAAATCCATCCAGCCAGAGTTCCGAACAGTCCTGTGTAAAGATAAGCAGTCAGGTGCCTCCTACAAACAGGAAACTTTTCGACGTACTTTATTATGCAGAAAGTGTAAGTTTATAGGTATACTTACTCAACTTGTAAAGTATGCATGACATCATTTTACATATTATAGAAGTTCTTAAGAAATATGTGGGAGTTACCAAGATGGGTAGTGAGGATGGACCCACAACATTCCATTTCTAGCTTTCTGAGAATTGTATCAAGTAGATGTGGGATTTGGCATTTGAGATTATCTTGACAAGCTGTACATGATTTTAGGTGTTATTTGGTTTCTTTGTATTTCTTTTTTTGTGCCAGTGTTGGGGCCTGAAGCAGGGCCTGGGCACTAACTCTGAGTGTTTGTGCTCAATGCTAGTGCACTATGACTTGAGCCAGTTTTTCTGGCCTTTTTGGTGCTTACTTAGAGCTAAGAGTCTCATGGACTTGCTTGCTCAGGCTGGCTTTTGAGCAGTGATACTCAGCTGTGTAGCTAGAATTGTAGACATGAACAAGCCACCAGCACCTAGCTCTGTATTTAATGTTGTGACATTTATAAAATTTTCTTGTTAAGCCATTCTTGTATTCAGAATTTAAGTTTTTGTAGGTTTAATATCTCTGTTGACAAAAGTGGATGCTTTATAAAAGTCAAAGTACACAATATAGTGATTAAAAAGTAAAAGTAGCCTTACCTACTTAGTGTCCTGTTTTTTCTGTTCTCAGAAATGATAATAAAGTTTTTAGCCTTTTTGGATAATTCAGATTTTATTTCTGTTTTCAACAAATGACAAAAAAATGGTGGTATTGCAAAAAAACTCCCCTTTTATAGTACTCATTTTACTTTCTTAAATAATGAGTCATCTCTCCTAATACTGTATTTGTCTTACTGAAACTTGCCAAACTTTTTCTAGTTTTATTAGGCTTTAGAGTCAATCTATGGTTTCATTTCTCCAAGTACTATGCTTTTAGTTTTATTAATTTATTAAATTCTCATTTCTACTCTGTACTTTTAAAAAAATTGAGTTGAATGCTTTCATTATTTTCAACATTGATTTAAAATTTGATGCAATGAAATTTTTGTTATCTTGTTGAACTTTAAATACCTTTCTTTAAATATACCTTAAGGACCAGACTTGGGGGTCACATGCATATAAGCACTTGGGGAGGTTCAGGTTGAAAGATCAAAGCCAGCCTGGATTCCATAGTGAGTTTCAGGTCAGCCTGGGCTATATACCAAGACCCTGTCTGAATCAAAAAAACCAAACAAAAAATGTCCTTTAACACAGTTTCAAAGGCTTGATTATTTTAGTCTGTGCTGTACAGAGCTACTTATAAGGAATTGGGAGATGTTGGGCCTTGACTGCTTGAACTGTGGCTGCTCAAGTTATCTCCTCTCCTTTAACGTTGCTTTTCTTTACTGAGTAGTTTTATATATATTTGACCTCTTCCTGAGCATTTTATCACTTGAATTTACCTAAAACAATCTTTTATCCTCATTATTTATGAAAAGTAGTACCTTCTGTTGTAGTCAATTTTTATTTGTTATTGTCATTCCTCAGTGCTTTTGAAAGAATTTTTTTTTTAAAGTTTAAGAGCAAACAGGAGAAACATGGCATATTTTAAATATGCTATTAGGTCTTTGGAAGCAAGGGGACAGTTATTTTGTGGGTTAAGAATGTAACTCATTGTTTGCCTAGAATGTGCAAGGCCCTGGGTTTGATCTCAGACTGCTCAAAAAGAAAAAGGAAGAAAATGATGGTTGTTTTCTGTGACCTCTACATTGTCTCTGTCTTGTTGTTTTATTTTGGCCAGCTAGGTAGATGATCAGCTGAACAATCTGCTGAAGGCATCTGAGCTCACAGAGGAGAATACTAAGCTCCGCTATCTTACCTGTTCCCTTATTGAAGACATAGCAGCAGCTTATTTTCCCAGCTGTACAGTCAGACCCTTTGGTTCCTCAGTGAACACTTTTGGGAAATTAGGATGTGATCTGGACATGTTTTTGGATCTAGATGAATTTAGAGAAAACACCACTAACAAGGTAAATTTTATTTCTTTATACTGCTGTAATTTAAAATTAATTAGAAAAGAGACATCTTTGGATTAATTACTTAGTAAACATGATAATAGAATAAGGCTTATTTGCTATCAATCCTCAAACAAAAATACTGTGTGGACTTTAAAATACTGCAGTGTTTTTCTTTTTTTGGTCATGGGACTTGAACTCTTGTCCCTGAGCTCTTCAGCTCAAGGCTAGTGTTCTACCACTTTGAGCTACAACACCACTTCTATACTGTAGCATTTTAAAGTTTCTTGATTATGGATTTTGTTAATCATTTTATTCAGGTATATAACAGATTCTGCATTTAGATTATATTCTGATTTTGAACATGAACTATTTTTTTTTAAGTAAAAATTTGTTGTGAAGGTGTTATACCTAGGGATTACCATTTCATAAGGCAGGTACAGTTAAGTACATTCCTTTTTTGAACAATGTCACCCCTTTCTTTGCTTTTTCTCAGTTACCCTCTCCTGTCCCTGTCTACTAGTTTCATGGTTCATTTTCCACATAGTGTATACTAAATACCATGATGAACTAGTTTTTAATCTGTGTGATATAGTTAACAAAACATTTCTTACAGATGTAGTTAACAAAACATTTCTCATAGATTTTAGTCAATTTCTCTTTAAAATTCTTTTGAAGTTTTATTCAAAGACTACATATAGGTATGTAGTATATGATTATATCATATTGGATGATTTAATTTTTCATCCAATTCATTTCTGTAAGTACTTCTTTAAGTTGTCTTTTGTTAACTAAAATGGTCATTTGCTGTCTGCTCTCATATATTCTTTATTTTCAGCCTTTATTTTTTTATTTGTTCTCAGTTGTGGGGCTTGAACTCTGGGCTTGGGCGCTGTCCCTCAGCTCAAGGCCAGCATTCTACCACTTGAGCCACAGATCCACTTCCGCTTTTCTGGTGGTTAATTGGATATAAGAGTCTCACAGACACTTCTACCCTGGTTGGCTTTTAACTACCTTCTTCAGATTGCAGCCTCTGGTGCCTGGCCTAAAACAATTATTTGCAGGTTATAACTTTTTTTTTTTTGGGTCTGGTCGTGGGGCCTGAACTCTGGGCCTGGGCGCTGTCCCTCAGCTCTTCAGCTCAAGGCTAGCGCTCTACCACTTGAGCCACAGCGCCACTTCCGGCTTTTTTCTGTTTGCGTATGTGGTGCTGAGGAATCGAACCCAGGGCCTTGAGCATGCAAGGCAAGCGCTCTACCACCCAGCCACCTTCCCAGCCCAGCAGGTTATAACTTAAAAGCAACCCAAACCAGCATAAGCCAAAGAAAGAACTAGAGGACCCGGTCCTAGAACCCAGACTTAGAAATGAAGATGAGTATTAGGAAAGCACTAGAGTAGGAAATTTGAACTACCTAGAACTTAGGATTTCTATATATTTGCTCTATTTTTCTTTTTCACACTTTTCTTCTTACCTCCACTTCTTTACTTGTTCATACTTGTCATATAAACATATCTGCCCCAAACTTCAGCCACATGGTTGCCTCTGAATCCTGTTTCTAGTAGAGCTCTTGGTGGTAGTGCTTAGCTGACCAGGAGTGGTCCACATGGGTGAAACAAAGGGACTAGATTTCATAGTAAACATGAATGTTTTAGGAGGAGTGAGTGCTAGAAGAGGAGCAGGGGGCTGCTGAGGATAGTAAAGTGTCTTTTAAGGCAGAAAGAGTTGAAAAGGTATCTGTCACATGAATGATGCAGGAAATGAATGGGTCTATAAATTGATTTGTGTATGCACGTTCTTTGAAATAATTTCTCATCACAGTAGTATGCATTTTAAGTTTCAGTAGATATTTCTAAAAGAAGTGTGTCCCTTTTTGTCTTTTTCAGACTGGTTAATGAAGAACCTCATTGCTGTTTTAATTTCTTTTTTGCTTTCTAGAAAACATGAGCATCTTTTTTTTCCTGTTGTGTACATCAGCTATATTTATTTCTTACTCATCTTTTTTTACCTGCTTTAAAAATTTGGTGTGTTTTTTCCTTCTTACGAAGAATACGAAGTCTTTATAAATTAGCCCTTTTGTGTGGCTGTTTTGCTTTTTATTGAGTAGTGAAAGTGTCTTTGTCTTAACATATTTTAGATTTTCATGCAATCATGCTTATTTCATCTTCTCTTATTTTTGGTCATGCTTAGAGTCCTTTGATAATCTGATACTTAAAACATGTGCTTGTTTTCTGTTTCTAGTACTTTGCTGATGTACTTTTTACATTGAAGTTTTGATCTGTGTTGGATTTACTTCAGTTTAGGAATGAACTAGGAATCTAGTTCCTTTTCTCATGGTAATTTGACTTTCTTGACTTTCCAAGTACCTTTCAGTTCATGTTGCTAAATAATGTCTATACATGGCTGTCCCTGTACAATCTGTTTTCTCTTCTTCATATATTATCCTTTTGCTTATACTCTCCTACTGTTGTGGTTTTATATTATATTGTATCTATGGAAATGCATTGGCTAACTAGGATAAGGTAGAGTCTATTCAGAGAGTTTAATAAGTGGTTTTGTATATTCTATGCTGTGATACATAAGATAGCTATGTAAACTCAAGGAATTAGCATAGATATACTTCATATGTATTCTAGAGAAACATAAGATCACCAAATAAACATCTTTTATGTTTCTCTGGATATGTTTATATGAAGAATTCATACATTGTTATTTTATATGTTTGTTTGGCAGGAATAATTTAGAGCATCCCTTCGGAAAAAGTTTATTAAATTCCTTTTTACAACAAATGCAATCATGCTATTCAGTGTACACTATGTGGAAAACGAACTGTGTAACATGTGGGCAGGAAAAGGAGAGAGAAATTGGAAGAAAGTAAAGGAAGGGTGACATTGTCCAAAAAAGAAACAGGTTTCTTATGACTTAGGAAATGTACTCATAATGATTCATGAGGTGGTAACCCCTTTGTATAGTACCTTAATAATGGTAAAGTTAAATGAATTTTTTTCCTTTGTACTAAATTATCCTTGTAATAAATGTTTATATTATTTAGAATGTTGGAAATTTTTTGATGGAATTTCAAGTGAAAAGTGTTCCTTCAGAAAGAATTGCGACTCAGAAGATCCTGTCTGTGATAGGAGAATGCCTTGACCACTTTGGTCCTGGTTGTGTGGGCTTGCAAAAAATCTTAAATGCTCGGTGTCCACTTGTGAGATTTTCCCACCAGCCCTCTGGATTTCAGTGTGATTTGACTACTAACAATAGGTATGATCTCTTAAGTTTACTGTTGTAAATGTCAAATGTCAAATGTTATATAGTATCAGCTGAGATTAAAGAGTTATTGTTATAGCTGTTTGCAGTTTAGAGTTTCCTAAACAAAATGATAATGTATTGAGTCAGTATTGACAGTTTATTAATATAACAGTGGAATATGTTCTCACTTGTGTAGCCTGCAAATCATTAGTATTGCAGAAATGTATCTGTTGATCATAATCTTTTAAATTATACTTAGAAAGTAAAGTGGCAGCTGGGTGCTGGTGGCTCACCCCTGTAATCCTAGCTACTCAGGAGGCTAAGATCTTAGGAAGGATCACGGTTCAAAGCCAGCCAGGGCAGCAAAGTCCATGACTCTCATCTCCAATAAAACACCAGAAAACCAGAAGTGGTACTGTGACTCAAGTAGTAGAGTGTTGGCCTTGAGCTGAAGATGTGAGGGACAGCACCAGGCTCAGAGTTCAAGCCCCATGACCAACCAAAAAAAAAAAGTAAAGTGGCAACCTGAGTTTGCCCTGGGAATTGTTCTGAGATACCTCCAACTTTTGAGTACCAGAGACATATGGTGTTGGGTTAGGGCAGAAGTAGTCTGAACAGCTTAAGACTTGGTGCTGTCCTTAGCACCAAGTTCTAGTGACCTGATGACAAAGATGTGTTATACTCTGACTGTGTACCCCAGGTTCAGAGTAGGGAAAACTTCTAAACTTAGGACTTTTTTCTTCTTCTGGTAGTCTCACTTGTTAGATTTCACTTACTTGCTAGAATAAACAATTGAAAATTCAGCCTAGAACAGTTTGGGTTAAACTGAAGTGTTCAGCTAATGAGCTACTGTTAAGAACTTCCAGTTTCTCTCAAGTAGCCCAGGGTACAGGCTATGGCTTCTTGCCAAATTCTAATATAAAAATAAAAATGCATGTTGTAGTTCCTATTTTTTTAATAATTTTCTTTTTGGGACAGGTTTATAAAAATTTACTTCAGAAATTATGTGTTTATACGTGATTTCTTTAGGTTTTTGTAAGTGTGCAGTGTTTCTTCATATCAGATTGCTTCTACTATTTATTTGCTATTTATTGCTTACAATATTCATTTATATATTGCTACTACTTATTGGATATTTAACTTAGCTTTATTTATAAGTACAAAATTCTTAGATACTATGAATTTATTTACCATATGTTCTGTTCTTTTGAAACTTCGATGTAGATGCTTGGTGACACTTCAGTGATAGCATCAGTTAATACTAGGAAATGATTTTGTGCCCTCTGCCAGTTCTTTTAGAAATTACAAGACATGATTCAATCAGTAGGAATTGAATTTTAAAAATTGAATTTTAAATTTTTATTTCTTTCATTTATTGTGTGTGCATGTAAGAGACTGAAAGACAGAGATAGAGTCTCATTCTGCTGTGCAGATGGGTATAGAACTTCAGATAACCTTCCCCCATGTCAGCCTCCTCAGTATTGGTGACCATGGCCCAGTATTCCCATGTCCCTGTTCTGATGTTTGATTCTTTAGGCAGCTTTTGTTCTTACAAATATTAGACTTAAATAATTTTGGCTATCTCACATACTGTAAGAGTTTCAACTAAATTCTTTCTTGACAAGTGAGTAAAATGTTTTCCTGTTTAAGTTAACTTGTCTACCAAAGGACTGGCTAAACAAGATGTAGAACTTATATACAAAGACACTTAAACCAATGTGCTTGTCTTTAGAAACAATTATGAAGAGCGCTGTCCACACACATTTAACTCATGTTTAGGAACTTGGATTTAAAATTTGTAAGTTTTAGAACATTGTGATTGTCAGAATTTAAAAATGTTCCAGTGGTATTGAATATGATTGATAGCCAAACATTTACATTTTTTTATATTGTAAATGCATAATGCTTATATATTTAATCCTAATGTATATTGCATGATTAATCATGGTATTCTGAATGTTTTCAGATATAGTGAGATAGTTAGCTATGTTCCAAGATATGGATCTGGATTTAGGAATTTGAAATTTCTTTTTGTTTTTCTTTTCTGAAGGATTGCTTTGAAAAGTTCAGAGCTTCTTTATATCTATGGTGCCTTGGATTCAAGAGTAAGAGCGTTGGTGTTTAGTATACGACACTGGGCTCGTACACACTCATTGACAAGTAGTATTCCTGGTGCTTGGATTACGAACTTCTCCCTTACAATGATGGTCATCTTCTTCCTCCAGAGAAGATCACCTCCTATTCTTCCAACCCTGGATTCCTTAAAATCCCTAGCAGGTAAGACTTAAGAGCAGCCTTCTCTCTCTTCTCTTCTTGACATTATATAAACATTTATCTTGTGTGCTCAAAGCCATATAATGTGTCTTCTTGATTTTTAAGGCCCCAAAATTAGATAGAAGTGAATTTGTGACTCTGACATTTAAGTGCTTTTTTTATCCCCAATAACTCCCATACTTCATAAAGCTTCCACTACCTCCCAAGAACTTTGCATAGAAGATGTCTTTGCTTAGATTTGTGAAGAGCAGAATTTATGTTCCAAGAACATACTGTACATTTTCTAGTGAAAGCTAGCTTAGAATATGTGGTTTATGGAGGCTGTGTATTCATCAATAATTAGGAAAATGCTTACCTCTAAACATACAAATGAGAATATAAAAATATGAACATCTAGGTCTAGTTTGTTATTACTTTTGAATTAGAGAATTGTCACTAGAGTATTTTGGAAGTTACTGGAAGTTTGAAAAAAGATTTTTAGAATGTGCAGTTTGTGTCATATATACATTATCAGGTCAAAGCACAGAATAGTCCTAGGAATAGAAATGGAGATGTCAATTTAAGTATGGACAAAGATGTGTCATAATTTAGTTTGATAAAAGATAGGAACTTCATGCATTTTCATTTACAGTGAGAAAACTGGTTAATTCAGAAGATTATTCGGAATTGCTGAGTTGTTAGACAGTAATTTTGTTCTAAAGAAAATGTAATTGTTGGTTTCACTATAATGAGTATAATTCCTCAAATCTTTTGTAGTGTAGTTTTAAATTCTATTAACTATAAATAGCAACAGTAATAGGGCACAATATATGTTTGATTTATTTAATTCATAATTCTTTGGGTGAAGGAGGTAATGTCTGTGAAATGTGAAAACTTTTCCTTTCTATTTATTGAAGGTGCTGAAGATAAATGTATAATAGAAGGCAACAATTGTACCTTTCTTAGTGACTTGAATAAAATTAAACCTTCAGGAAACACAGAAACACTAGGTAATTGTTTTAGGGGTTTTTCTTTTTCTTTTTTTTCCTTTTTTTCATTCAAGCAGATTTCTTATTTTCCTTACTTTATTGTCTTGCAGAATTACTACTGAAGGAATTTTTTGAGTATTTTGGCAATTTCGCTTTCAATAAAAATTCCATAAATATTCGACAGGTAAATAATGTTTTAGTATTGGGTTTCCACTGTATTAATTAATATTTTAGCTAGTCTGGTTTTGGAAGTACTCCAACCAGTTGTCTTTCAAATGTACAGTTATATTCTGAACAGCCTTCCAAAACAGGTCAAAATTGGCCTCACTGTTCTTGAGCCTGTGACTTCTCAGTGCTGGGGTTATGGATGGTGGTATGCCTGTTATCTTCTCCTCTTTCAGATGTGACCACAGGCAACATGTAAATATTCAGAAGCCATGGTGATGTCCTCACTTCTTTCATGAATCCATTTATTATTTAAGAATTCTAATTTTGTGAATTTGGGTTCCCATTGTGAAAGATATATTTTTCATTAGGTCTCAAAAATAAATTTATTTTCATCTTTGTTTCATTTTTTTGTTTGGTGCCAGTCCAAGGGCTTGAACTTAGGGCCTGGACTCTGTCCCTGAGCTTCTTTTGCTCAAGGCTAGCTCTGTTCTGTTTGAGCCACAGCACCACTTCTGGCTTTTAATGAGTACTTTATTAGAGATAAGAATCATGGGCTTTCTGCCCAGGCTGGCTTTGAACTGGGTTCCTCAGATCTCAGCTTCCTCAGTGCTGGGATTGCAAGCATGTGATACCATACCCAGCCTCTTTTTCTTTTCCCTTTTCCTTTCTCTTTCCCTTTTGTTGGTATTATGCTTACCTTTGGTCCTTAGCTCCACCCAGACCTGGGGCCCCCCCCATCCCATTCCTGGAGTTCCCTCCATACAGCTGGCCCCTCCCTCTCTCAGTCCAGACCCACCTGGACTCCCATCTACCTCACTTCCTTTCCCTCAGACCCTCCTGCTACATGGGGACGGAGGCCATGTGCTCCTTCTTGGGGGAAATACGGCTCTTCTAATAAACCTTATAATAATCTTTCTCCTGTGCCTGCCTGCCTCTGCGTGGTCCCCTGGGATGGATATATGGGATTCTCCTCTTACACCTTTTCCTTTCCCTTTCCCAGTACTGTGGTTTGAACCTAGGGCCTCCCAGTGGCTAGGCAAGTGTTTCAACTTGAACCAACTCTTTTTAATATTTGTTATTTTGAGATACATTTGCTTGGATTCATGATCCTCCTGTTTTACACTTCCTACCCTAGCTGGGATGACAGATGTGTGTGCCACCATGCCCAGATTTTTTTTTTTTGAAGTGGAGTTCTAAGGATTTCTCTGCCCAGGCTGTCCTTGAATTGCCACACTCCCCCCTAACCATTCCAAGTAGCTAGGATTACAGGTAAGAGCTACGATAACTTGCTCAGTCTTATTTTCTTCCTTTTTGTTTTGATTTTTTTAAACTCTTACCTTTTTAGGTAAAAGTAGATTACTGACTTTTTTTTTTTTTTTGGTCAGTCATGGGGCTTGAACTCTGGCTTGGGAACTGTCCCCCAGCTCTTCAGCCCAAAGCTAGCGCTCTACCACTTGAGCCACAGCGCCACTTCCAGTTTTCTGGTGGTTAATCAGAGATAAGAGTGTCACAGCCTTTCCTGCCCAGGCTGTGTTTTTGATATGAGATCCTCAGATCTCAGGCTCCTGAGTAGCTGGTATCACAGGTGTGAGCCACCGGCGCCTGGTGACAAAATATTTTTATTTTTGACCTAGGCCAGATACCTGTCACCTGGGTGGTGACATTAGTCAAAGATCATAAACCTAAACTATTTTTTTCTCCAAAGAATACTCAAAACTACAGGAGGAAAAAGGAAAAAAACCCAACCACATAGTATATAAACTACACACATACATACTCATGTAACATTCATACATACTCAGCTCTCTTAGGAAAGAAATAGTTTGTAAAGGTAGTACTGGTATTTTATGGTATTTTGATATTCAAGCCCTTTATATGCTCATTCTTTCTGTAGGGAAAGGAACAAAATAAACCTGATTCATCTCCTCTGTACATTCAGAATCCTTTTGAAACTTCTCTCAACGTAAGCAAAAATGTAAGTCAAAGCCAGATGCAAAAATTTGTAGATCTGGCCAGAGAAAGTGCGTGGATTTTAGATCAGGAAGACCGAGCTTCCTCAGATGATAGGCCCTGGGGCCTGGCAGCCCTTCTGTTACCCTCCATAATCAGCAAATCTCATGCTAAGAGGTCAAAGAACAAGCCCGCAAGTGAAAGAGTAAGGAGCTTGCTAGAATCCATTAAACAAGGCAATACAGCAGATCCTGCCAGCACCGATGGGGAAAGAACCATGAATACCCAGACATAGTTCAGCTGCAGGGCTGAAGTTGGCGCCTGGCCTGCCAGGGAGGACTGGTGTAGACTTCTCCAAGGCAGCTGTCATCTATTCTCCATCTCCTCATTGGCTCCTTTACCTGGCCTCAATTTCTGGACGTTTTCATTCAGACCAGTGTGATACCCAGGCAGCATTTAATTGAACAGCAAACACAGCAGTGGAATGCAAAGACTGGAATGAACTTTCAAATAAACTTCACACTTAATGGCAAAAATCAGTCTTAGAATCAGATCATTGTTGATATCCATGGCAGACCCTGGTTGGGAAGCATTTCAAAGGACTTCTAGTTATGTACATATACCAGCAATGAATGCAATAAAGCTTCTGAACTTGGTAATACTCTTGTAATATGCAGTTTTCTGTTTTCTAAACAAAGTGCTCTTATTTATACATAAAGTAAAATCAGTTGTTTTATGCTTTTAAAACATATATGTAGGCATATTTCATTCACTGCATTCAAGGTATTCAAGGTCCAATATTTGAAAATACTGATAAGTCTTTTTAAAGGGTAGTTTTTCTGTCTGTAGGTATAAAATCTATTTCTACTAAACCGTTGCCTGGTTTTCTCAAAACTTTCTCCCTTTGGTTTTGGGAACTCCTCTCCTTGTAGGAAAGAGATGCTTACAGAAATACAGTTCATTCGCATGCTCTATGTAGTCATTTTAGTGTTTGTCATTTAGTCATTGTAGTGTTTGTGAACATCAACTTGAGACAGCTGGGCTCTTTGGCAAGTGCTCATTCTCCCCAAGCCTGGCTGTTTCTTCTGTAACATGGGGACGAAAACCGTGCCCACTTCACCTTTTGTGAGACTCTAGGGCAGGGGCCTGGCACATGGGGAATGTCACAGGGTCATTGTGCTGTACTGAAGTGCTTGCTACCATAACTTTCAGATTTGGGGGGATGTTTAAATAGGTGACTGTATACCTTATAAATTAGACACAAGTCTAAACACAAATTTCACTTGTGTTTTATATACTTGTATACATAGGTTAGTAGTAATTATGTGTCTTTTTAAATAATTTTATATTTGAAATAGAATTTCATGGTTTAGAATTTTCTATTTGTAGGACTGGATCATGTACCTTAATCTGTTGATTCAAGATCACTGTAGATTTAGCTACTGTTTTCTTGATTGTTTGGTATTGCTGACAATCAAACCCAAGGCCTTGTATATGTTAGACACTCTGCCCCGAGTTACATCCCAGCCACCAGATAATGCTTTTCAGTGTTTGAGATATGTAATTATTTTCTTTGTCCAGAATCCAAATTTGGGATTTATGGTACTTCTAAGTTTTTAGTCATGGATTACTGAACTCTCCTGAGTAACTGAAGTACTATAAGCAAGTGTGTTCTCTGACCACGTGGCTGTGCTGTTGCATCTCACATGTTAGCCAAGCAAGTGTTTCCTGTTACAGGGCAGTCTTGGAACTAATAGTCATTTTCCATTTCTTCTGCAGCTAAGTTTATTTTATTGCACTAGAAATTAGTACTGATTTCAAAACTTTTCAAAGTACCTATTTAGGAGTTATTAAGGGAAATTCTTTTTCTCTATTAAAATATTTGATCAGATATTTTTTTAATACTGCCTCAAAATGGTTATATAAACACAAGAAGAGTGTGTGTGTGTGTGTGTGTGTGTGTGTGTGTGTGTGTGTGTGTGTGTATGTGTGAGCATTTTCTTTTCTTTGTAAGACTACCTTGACTGTAGGTCAATTTTACTTTTCAGGATGAGGTTTAACTGATGAATTTTAATCTGCAATTTTTAAAATACAGTTTTAAATTCCAGTTAGTGAAATACTATCAACAAATATATATATATATATATATATATATATATATATATCCACACACATATTTCTTATAATGTAACTTTGAAAACTGCATCATATGGATAAACCCAACAGTTATTTGCCCTTGCTATTACTTAAGTAAAATAAATTAGAATGGTAAGAAAAATTAGGTTCTTTTGTTTTTCCTTTTTTTTTTTTTCTCCAGTACTGGGATTTGAACTGAGAGCTCAGACTTGCTAGGCAGGAGCTCTATTATGTGAGTCACTCTCCTAGCTCTTCCATAATTTTTTTTTATCTGCTACCTATTTAAAAAAATTTTTTTTTAAAACCTTTTTATTTCTTTGCCAGTCCTGAGGCTTGAACTCAGGGCTTGGGGCACTGCCCCTGAGCTTCTTTTGCTCAAGGCTAGTACTTTGCCACTTGAGCTATAGCTCCACTTCTGGCCTTTTCTGTTTATGTGGTACTGAGGAATCATACCCTGGGCTTCATGCATGCTAGGCGAGCACTCTACCACTGAGCTACATTCCCATCCCAATCTGCTACCTATTTATGGTGACCTTCCTTTCAGTAGCTTTCCTCTACAATGAATTTTATTCAGTATACAAAAGTAATTTTGATATGAGACTACCTAGTTCAGCCATGTATCATCCCATGTTTTCTAGTTTTGTAGTTACAATTCTGGATATTGTTATCCATCTTTAAGAAACCAGATGGGATTGGAGGTATGACCGGTAGAATGCCGGTCAATGAGTGATAGCATCAGATTTGAGTCCTGGTCTCGAACAAAAAATAGAAACTAGAGGATTAGTCAAAGACATTCTAGGAAAGTGTACATTCCATCAGTGTGCATTCTATCAGTGTGCATTCTATCACATTTACCAACCATCACTGATCCCAAAGAAGAGAAAGAACAGTTGGAATAAGACATTCTTCCTGCTGTTAATGACTGAGCTCTTTTTTTGCTCTTCCTCCATAGTCAGGTGAGAGTAGAAGTAAAGTTACTGCCCGAATCTTTTCATGTTCCTACATTTTTCCTCGGCCTTCAAAGAATAGCCATATTCCATTCCTGCCAGCCTGCTGGTGCCATGAGGGAAAGGCTGTGTTTACAGGTCTTAAGTAGGCAAGCCTAGCAGCTATGTGCAGTAAAGCCAGCCGACACGCAGATGTAGCTTGGCTATGTGTGTGTGGCATCATGCCATTGTGCCTGGAGCGTTCAAACTGCCATAGAAAGGAAGACACCATTTCTGCTTGGGACACTCAAGGTAGGGGAGTCTTCAAGGGATTATCATTCTGGAGAAAGGCTTGGAGTCAGAAAGAAGGGAATCCTGTTTAGAGACTTGGAGATCCAGCCATGCTGGGATGAGGGTTTTGCTAGGATGCTCAGAGGAGTTAAGAGTTGAACAAGATATGGAGACTGCCAGATATAAGTTAAGGAGGATAAATACAGCTTAAAAAATTGGTAATCATTGATGGATTTTTGTGCAAAGGAATAATAAAAATTAGAGCAGTGTTTATGGATAAATACCTGTTGATAGCTAGTAGCTTTTACATTTTAAAAGCAAAGTTGAGTGCCACAGATCCCATCATAAAGTTAGACAGAATTTGGCTGACAGTTCTACACTAAGGTCCAGAAGCTGACTAAGTCTTGTACCAGAAAAGTCTTTAGTATTTTAGTAAGAAAGTAAAGCTGGTAGAGGTTTAAGCTATCAATGGGAAGTGCCAGGTTGTGACTTACATATGATATTATGTAAAGTCTTATAAATGAGAAATTCTTTGAAATGTATACTTGGAATGAAAACATGACCAGAAATCATTTTTCACCTTGATATGATGTTGGGAAATTTATTTTAAGTACTTGAAAGGCTTTATTTTGGTTTGCATGCTGTGTTCAATTCCATGTGGATACAGATTCCAGCGAATATAAACATTACACTGTTCTGTGGAATTCCCATGGAGCAACTCCCAGAAAACGTCTGCTCTACAGAGCATCTTTCACCTGTGTTGTCTTATGATAATACAGGATGCATAAAATCACAGATTATTAAAAAACATCATATTTTAAATGTGATTGCTCATGTTTTATGGTATCTGTGTTTTCCAACCACTTTTATTCAGTGGAGTCAGCTATATTAAAGTCATTGTTTACATTTTGTATTTATTCCTGGATGAATATATTTAAACTTTTGCTCCCTCCAACCTCCCAGTTTCTAGTTTTCATAACATGGTGCTGAAACCTATTATTATTATTATTATTAGTTATACAGGGTGAGGGGAGAGATTTCATGATTATATCCATACTTTTTTTTTTTTTTTGGGTCCGGTCGTGGGGCCTGAACTCTGGGCCTGGG